AAGGAGGATGGTCACACTGCAATCCCTTCTCCTCCATTCTCTTCCTGGGATCTTGGGCACGCAGGCACATGTGCATGGCGTGAGTTAAGCCACCGGGTCCAGGACTTGAACTGTGGTCGATTACATGGGAGTCTAACAATGTAGTAATTATGCCATCTGCTGGTCCCAAAGCACAAATTAAGTAATTCTTAAGCAAGTACGTTACATCTCCACTTAGCACTAAGGGGCTACAAGATTATTTTACTTGTGGCCATGCCCTTTCTCAAAGACTGCTCATTCCTTTTCTTTGAAGGACTACTTAATTTCAAGAGTATAAAACAGCATAGTCTTGGTCATGTGTCTTGGATGTGGAAGATAATTGGGTTGTTGCAAAAGTCATGAAATATTTTTGCATAGAAAAATACATCAAGACTTCCCCAACAACCTAATATGTTCATTCTCTTAATATATTGATCCATTTGAAATATTGACCCTCTAATGTGTCAGGTAATTTTTCTTGTTTTTATTCCTTAGTCCTGATAGAGCATGTGTGTGCATGTTGGGGGTTGGGCAGAGAGTGAAGCACCCTCTACAGGATCTGGCCAGACCATAGTTCCCTTCCTCAGGTCCTTCAGCCCAAAAGATCTTAGTCACTTATGTGCCTAGCATGTTTCAGGCTGACATGACTGGGGATTCAAACTGATTGCCATGTCTTCTCTTGAGCAGTACATTACCAGTGTGCCACAGAGCTGACCCTGTGTCAGATATTTCTGAGGTGTTCTTGAAATGTGTTTTTCTTTTATTTTCTCCCTGTACATGTTTTCTAATTGACTTTTTGTAAGGCCTAACTCTCCTACTCTAGAATTAAAGTAATGGTGAGAAATTTGTTCCCAATTGAAAGGTGATTACTTGAGTCCTTGAACCTCTTGGAGAATAACATTTAAAGAACAAGGTTCTTTATTTATTTATTTATTTATTTATTTATTTATTTATTTATTTGAGAGGTTTTGGCTATAGGGCGTGTGCGCTTGCCAGAAAGACAGAGAGACAGAGAGACAGAAAGCGAGAAATCACCCCCAAGGGGAGATGGCCACACCACAATCCCTTCTCCTCCATTCTCCTCTTGGGATCTTGGGCACGCATGCACACATACCCGGTATGAGTTTAAGCGTGGCTTAAACTCACGCCAGGCGCGTGTGCATGCGTGCCCAAGATCCTGAGAGGAGAATGGAGGAGAAGGGATTGTGGCATGGCCATCTCCCCTGGGGGGTGATTTCTCACTTTCTGTCTCTCTTTCTGTCTTTCTGGTGAATGCACATGCCCTATAGCAAAAACCTCTCCAAAAAAAAAAAAAAGAAAAGAAAAAAGAAAAAAAAAGAATTATTTATTTAATTTTATTTACTGTTATTTTTTTAAAATGCCATAAAGGTCATGTGCATACCAGAGAGAGACAGAGAGAGAGGGAAAATGAGAAAGTGAGCTGCCAGGTCCAGGACTTGAACCATGGTTGGCTATGTGGAAGTCTAGACCCTTAACTACCCCACCACATGCCGCCCCCCCCCCCAACAAAGCACATTCTGTTTTTGTTTTGAGAGGTTTTTTACTATTGGGTGCGTGTGCTCATCAGAAAGAGAAAGCGAGAAATTATCCCCACTCCTTGTGCCAAGGAGGATGGTCACACTGCAATCCCTTCTCCTCCATTCTCTTCCTGGGATCTTGGGCACGCAGGCACATGTGCATGGCGTGAGTTAAGCCACCGGGTCCAGGACTTGAACTGTGGTCGATTACATGGGAGTCTAACAATGTAGTAATTATGCCATCTGCTGGTCCCAAAGCACAAATTAAGTAATTCTTAAGCAAGTACGTTACATCTCCACTTAGCACTAAGGGGCTACAAGATTATTTTACTTGTGGCCATGCCCTTTCTCAAAGACTGCTCATTCCTTTTCTTTGAAGGACTACTTAATTTCAAGAGTATAAAACAGCATAGTCTTGGTCATGTGTCTTGGATGTGGAAGATAATTGGGTTGTTGCAAAAGTCATGAAATATTTTTGCATAGAAAAATACATCAAGACTTCCCCAACAACCTAATATGTTCATTCTCTTAATATATTGATCCATTTGAAATATTGACCCTCTAATGTGTCAGGTAATTTTTCTTGTTTTTATTCCTTAGTCCTGATAGAGCATGTGTGTGCATGTTGGGGGTTGGGCAGAGAGTGAAGCACCCTCTACAGGATCTGGCCAGACCATAGTTCCCTTCCTCAGGTCCTTCAGCCCAAAAGATCTTAGTCACTTATGTGCCTAGCATGTTTCAGGCTGACATGACTGGGGATTCAAACTGATTGCCATGTCTTCTCTTGAGCAGTACATTACCAGTGTGCCACAGAGCTGACCCTGTGTCAGATATTTCTGAGGTGTTCTTGAAATGTGTTTTTCTTTTATTTTCTCCCTGTACATGTTTTCTAATTGACTTTTTGTAAGGCCTAACTCTCCTACTCTAGAATTAAAGTAATGGTGAGAAATTTGTTCCCAATTGAAAGGTGATTACTTGAGTCCTTGAACCTCTTGGAGAATAACATTTAAAGAACAAGGTTCTTTATTTATTTATTTATTTATTTATTTATTTGAGAGGTTTTGGCTATAGGGCGTGTGCGCTTGCCAGAAAGACAGAGAGACAGAGAGACAGAAAGCGAGAAATCACCCCCAAGGGGAGATGGCCACACCACAATCCCTTCTCCTCCATTCTCCTCTTGGGATCTTGGGCACGCATGCACACATACCCGGTATGAGTTTAAGCCACTGGGTCCAGGACTCGAACCACAGTCGACTATATGGGAGTCCAGCGATGTAGCCATTATGCTAACCACTGGTCCCAAAAATGAGAACGCGGTTCTTTTTTTTTTTGGAGAGGTTTTCACTATAGGGCGCGTGCGCTCGCCAGACAGACAGAGAGAGAGAGAGAGACAGAAAGCGAGAAATCACCCCCCAGGGGGGATGGTCACGCTGCAATCCCTTCTCCTCCATTCTCCTTTCGGGATCTTGGGCACGCACGCACACACGCCCAGCATGAGTTTTAAGCCACTGGGTCCGGGACGCAAACCGCAGTCGACTACGTGGGAGTCCAGCGACATAGCCATTATGCTAACTGCTGGTTCCCAAGATCGAGGTTCTTTAGAATGAAAGTAATGGTGAGAAATTTGTTCCCAACTGAAAGGTGATTGCTTGAGTCCTTGTACCTCTGGAAGCATAACACTTAAAGAACAAGGCATGGGGGAAAAATATTAAACTTACCAAAGATACTATCTTATTATTTAGGTCCATATATTCTTGTGAATATGGTTTTTTAAACTTGCTGTTATAGTCAATGTTGTTGACTTTAAAGCTGATGTGATAGTAGAAAGGTGTTTTCCCTGGATAGAAGAAGAAAAAAATAGTTCTCACTTAGCACATTATATAACTACTTTAATTCCAAGAAAAATCAACTGAAAGAGAATTCTCTAGTGAAATTTCAGGTTATTTGATATTTAAATAGTCTAGATGCCCCAATTTTTGAGATTACGGAAAAATGTTAATTAAATAATAAAATTAGCCAAAAATGTATGTAACATTTATAATATAAAATTTTAATGTGTCAGTTTTCTAGTTTGGGCAGTCTGGAGATAGACATGCTACTATGAGAGGAAGTGACATTGAAGTATAGATTATCTTAGTCTTTGTTGTTGTCATGTAGGAAAATCAGTGAAGTAATTGTATTTATCATTCATTAAATACCTAAGAAATTAAAATCAATAAAAGAAAAATTAAATGAGGCATGACTTGTAAGGGCTGTACATTAAGTAAACAGAACAAAACAAAATGAAACCTATGACTTTAGAAGAGCAAAGAAAAAGACATAGGACAAAGACTAGGTTGTTCTGTATTATTTGAAAACATCTAAGGTAGTAAAAAATGAAATAGTTTCTTGTAAATTGTTTAGGTCCCATTGTATCTCACTATTCTTTACTAGAAGGGAACGAAGAGAGAGAGGAGAGAGAGAGCTGAAAGAGCAGAAGAGGGAAGCGGAGAAGTGAGAAAGAAAAAGAGGGACACAGGAAGGAGAATAAAAACATTTTGTGAGTCAGAGAAAATTCTTCATATCAGTGGCTGCAATTAATTATCTAGGAAAGTCTTCCATGTTCACTCACAAATAATCAAAAAACATAAGGTAAAATAAGATTGCATTTTTTATATTGCATATTTGGCAAAAATATAGGCACTTTTATAGTCTGTCAGAATGCTAATTAGAAGATATTTTTGGAGGACAATTTGGTCATGTTATCAAAAGCCTAAAATATAGTCTCATTTTTTCACTTAATGATTTTTCTTTATTTTACTTTAGTTTTAGTTATGATAGTATATGTGCACACACATAAGAGAAAGAGGTACCCTGCACAGGTCTCAGTCATGCTGTGATTCCCCTTCCTTCAGTTTTCCAGCCCACTGGAATACTGGACATAAAAAAAAGAAACATACCCAGTGTGTCTTTCAGACCAACTGGGTTGAGGACTCAAACCATGGTTGGCAAGTGGCTTCCAGTTCCACAGTCTGGAATTCTATCAACTGTGCCAACTTGTCTAATTCCTTTTTTTATAACTTACTCTAAGGTTAATGAGTTCAATACAAACCTATGTATAAAAATGAACTATTTTAAATAGCATAAAAATTTAGAAATAAACTAAGATTTAAGGTAGAAAATTCAAGTAAATTAGGGTTTACTTACGTGTGCTATAATATTTGTTATATCATCACTAAAATTATGCTGTAGTGTAATTGTTAAGATCATGACAAATGCATGTAAAAAAGGTGGGGAAGGGGCCAGCAGGTTATGGTAACTGGATCTCACAGGGCTGACAGTGTGTTTGAGTCTTGGACCTGGCAGCTTGAAAAAACACACTGGGCTCCTGTGCATGTGTGCCCGAAGTTGCAAGAGGAGAATGGTGGTAAAGAACAAGGCATGGGGGAAAAATATTAAACTTACCAAAGATACTATCTTATTATTTAGGTCCATATATTCTTGTGAATATGGTTTTTTAAACTTGCTGTTATAGTCAATGTTGTTGACTTTAAAGCTGATGTGATAGTAGAAAGGTGTTTTCCCTGGATAGAAGAAGAAAAAAATAGTTCTCACTTAGCACATTATATAACTACTTTAATTCCAAGAAAAATCAACTGAAAGAGAATTCTCTAGTGAAATTTCAGGTTATTTGATATTTAAATAGTCTAGATGCCCCAATTTTTGAGATTACGGAAAAATGTTAATTAAATAATAAAATTAGCCAAAAATGTATGTAACATTTATAATATAAAATTTTAATGTGTCAGTTTTCTAGTTTGGGCAGTCTGGAGATAGACATGCTACTATGAGAGGAAGTGACATTGAAGTATAGATTATCTTAGTCTTTGTTGTTGTCATGTAGGAAAATCAGTGAAGTAATTGTATTTATCATTCATTAAATACCTAAGAAATTAAAATCAATAAAAGAAAAATTAAATGAGGCATGACTTGTAAGGGCTGTACATTAAGTAAACAGAACAAAACAAAATGAAACCTATGACTTTAGAAGAGCAAAGAAAAAGACATAGGACAAAGACTAGGTTGTTCTGTATTATTTGAAAACATCTAAGGTAGTAAAAAATGAAATAGTTTCTTGTAAATTGTTTAGGTCCCATTGTATCTCACTATTCTTTACTAGAAGGGAACGAAGAGAGAGAGGAGAGAGAGAGCTGAAAGAGCAGAAGAGGGAAGCGGAGAAGTGAGAAAGAAAAAGAGGGACACAGGAAGGAGAATAAAAACATTTTGTGAGTCAGAGAAAATTCTTCATATCAGTGGCTGCAATTAATTATCTAGGAAAGTCTTCCATGTTCACTCACAAATAATCAAAAAACATAAGGTAAAATAAGATTGCATTTTTTATATTGCATATTTGGCAAAAATATAGGCACTTTTATAGTCTGTCAGAATGCTAATTAGAAGATATTTTTGGAGGACAATTTGGTCATGTTATCAAAAGCCTAAAATATAGTCTCATTTTTTCACTTAATGATTTTTCTTTATTTTACTTTAGTTTTAGTTATGATAGTATATGTGCACACACATAAGAGAAAGAGGTACCCTGCACAGGTCTCAGTCATGCTGTGATTCCCCTTCCTTCAGTTTTCCAGCCCACTGGAATACTGGACATAAAAAAAAGAAACATACCCAGTGTGTCTTTCAGACCAACTGGGTTGAGGACTCAAACCATGGTTGGCAAGTGGCTTCCAGTTCCACAGTCTGGAATTCTATCAACTGTGCCAACTTGTCTAATTCCTTTTTTTATAACTTACTCTAAGGTTAATGAGTTCAATACAAACCTATGTATAAAAATGAACTATTTTAAATAGCATAAAAATTTAGAAATAAACTAAGATTTAAGGTAGAAAATTCAAGTAAATTAGGGTTTACTTACGTGTGCTATAATATTTGTTATATCATCACTAAAATTATGCTGTAGTGTAATTGTTAAGATCATGACAAATGCATGTAAAAAAGGTGGGGAAGGGGCCAGCAGGTTATGGTAACTGGATCTCACAGGGCTGACAGTGTGTTTGAGTCTTGGACCTGGCAGCTTGAAAAAACACACTGGGCTCCTGTGCATGTGTGCCCGAAGTTGCAAGAGGAGAATGGTGGAGAAGGGATTGCAGCGTGGCCATTCCCTTGAACATTGAAATGACTTCGGGAATGTAGGTCATGCATGGCAGTACAATATGATAGAAGGAACTTGGGTCCCTGCCACCTTGAAGTGATGTAATGAATTTGGGTCACTGACGTATTTGTTTTTGAAGCTTATATATGCATTTGTCTTATTTTGGATCAGTGGTTCTCAATCCTGTCTTCATACTAGACCTGCCTGGGGAGCCTTGAGAACTGTAATTTCCACTCTAGATAGCATCTGTGGGAATGGGGCTTATGTAATAATATTCCAGATGACTCTAAGGTACAGTCAGGATAATTCACTACTCTAGAACCTGTGGTTTGTGGGCCAAATCTAGGCTGTTACTCGTTTTGGGATGACTGCTGAACTAAGAATAGTTTTTATATTTTGAATTACTGAAAAGCCAAAAGAAGAAGAATATTTTATGACATGTTAGAGTTATTTGAAATTTGCATTTAGTGGCCATAAATAGTTATTGGAAATAGCTACATTCACTTATTTACATATTGTTTATGAGTGCTTGAGGACTACAGCAGGTAGAAATGAGTTGTGGTAGACTGTAATGGTCCACAAAGAGGAAAATATATTTGGTCTTTTACAGAAAAAAAAAAAATAATGTGCTGGCCCTGACCTAGATGGTGTGCATTTTGGTGCAAGGACTAGTAAAGTGCTGTAGAAGCCATCCTTTGTCACTCCTGTGCCCATTGTAGCACTCAACTTAGTACTTGCTAGTAAGTACATGATGGTCATCCAATGAATGCCTATTGAGGGGAATCCGTGTGTAGTTTCAGATACCCTTATTCTTCTCCCATTCTGCTATTTATTTATGGAATACTTACTACCTCTCTTAAAAAGTTAATCAAATAGAAAACACATCATTATCATTTAGATCATATGAAGCAGAGGGAGGGAGGTGTCTAGGAGTGAAAATTTATGCTGTGCTTTGGCTTGTCCATCCATCCTTTTTTAATTACTAGCCCAAAGTGAAGGAATAGTCATTGTGAAGAGATGGTTTATTGCTTCCAGGTTTAGAGTCAGGCGTAGTGAAGTAGAAAATCCTAAAATTGACACTGACAGCATCTTTCAAAGAGGAATGTCATAAGGCTGCCTTTATATGCTGCCAAAGTCTCTGTATGAAAAGAATTTGTTTAATCAGATTGAGATATTGCTTATTTAGTGATAAGTCTGTAGTTACTTAAAATTACTTCTGATTTTGGGACCAGCAGATGGTGTAGCGGTTATGTTGCTGGACTCCCACCCAGCAGTTTGAATCCCAGACCTGGTGGCTTGAAAATCACTCTGGGTGTGTGTGCCTGTGTGTCCAAGATCCTGGGAGGAGAATGGAACAGAAGGGATTGCAGCATGGCCACCCACCTTTGAGGAGATTTCTCAGTTTTCCTCTCACTGTGTCTGTCTGTCTCTCTGGCGAGTGCATGCATCCTATGGCAAAAACCTCTAAACAAAAATAAAAACCTGACTTCGTTTTAATTTTTCAGGTCATATAAAATACATAGGCAGCTTTAATGTGAAAACATAGTCAATGACATTTAAAAGACAAGGAAGTAAAATCTAGGAATCAGGAAGCTTTAAAAACGCTTTATACATTGTCATTCCTCCGGGTTCACTGTGACTTGCAGGAAACTTACATTATTGTTCTGGTGCAGAAGTGTTTAATGCTGGAGTTTTTTCCTTTTATAAGTTTTTATAAATCACTAAAGCTTATGATTTTTGAAAAATAGGTATCACTCTGAATAACTCAGATCATTTTTTTTTAGAGTTTGTTTTGGTTTTGTTTTCGTTTTGCTATAGGGTGTGTAAGCTCACTGTAGAGACAGAGACAGAAGCGAGAAATCATCCCCAAGGGGGGTTGGCCATGCCACAATTCCTTGTCCTCCATTCTCCTCTCAGAATTTTGGGAACAAACACACGCACAGTTAGCATGAGTTTCAAGCCTCCGGATCCAAAACTTAAACCACAGTTGGCCATGTGCGAGTCCAGCACCTTAACCACCACACCACTTACTAGCCCTGAGAGTGAAATCTTAAATGAATTGTAACATCAGTCATTAATTCTCACATCAGTTATTTCTTTTATGTCCTCTAAAATGATCTATTTGGATAAAAATACTTTAGAATAAACTTCAAGTGAAGATTGTATACATATATAAAAATATATGTATACTGGTATTCAAACAAATATTATCTGTAGGACATACAATCAACCCTTGGTATTTGTGGGTTCTGCACCTGCAGATTCAAGCAACTTCAAATCAGAAATATTCAGGACAAATCCTCTAATATAAAACAACAACACTACAATAAAAATAATGTGAATAAAATACACAGTATACACTGGTTATATATAGCATTGACACTGTATTGCATATTATAAGTAGTCTAGAGATGATTTAAAGTATATTTAAAGGAAGATGTGCATAGTTTATATGTAAATACTATGCTGTATTTATTTATTTATTTGTTTATGGAGAGGTTTTTGCTATAGGGCGTTTGTGCTTCCTAGAAAGACAGAGACAGAAAGGGAGAAATCATCCCCTGGGGGGATGGCCACATTGTAATCCCTTCACCTTCATTCTCTCGGGATCTTGGGCACACACACACACACACACACACACACACACGCCCAGTGTGAGTTTAAGCCACTGGGTCTGGGACTCGAAAGAAATTGCTGGAGAGGGACAGAGTGAGAGAGAGGGGGGAAGTGACAAAGCATCCCTGATAGGGAATGGTCAAGTCACAATCCCTTTCAGAATTGTGTACGTGTACCTGACGTGTTCGAACTGCTAGATCTGAGACTTGCACCATGCAGTTGGCCATGTGGGATCTAGCTGCCTTAATCACCACTCCACTGGCTGGTCCATTACTATGCCATTTTATGCAAGGGATTTAAGCATTTGTGGATTTTGGTATCTACAGGACTTCAGAAATCTACTCTCTGCAGATACCAAGGTATGGAATATAATCATAAAACAATTTTATTTTTAATTCTTTAGTAATAAAATGTCCTGTGGGCATTATAAATCACAAAATATGGTCTGAATTCATAAATTAAAATGACTAGGTCTATTTAATAATCAAAATTTGGATTTGATTTGAAGTTCAGGCTCTCTTCTTCCCAAGCTGTTTTCTCAGCCAGTCTTGCTATTTCTCATTTGCCACTTCATTAATTGAATTTTATATTTTTCTAGGTCTTGAGAAGAGAGGAAATGAGAGGAGGAAGTTTTTCCTTAAATGATCAAGAATTTGATATCTACCTTTGGTGTTTTTGAAACTTAGAAAATATTTAAAACTAACATCTATGTTCTTCTTAACTCTGAACTCCACTTTCCCCTCCTTGCTATCTTTAAAACTACAGTTCTTTTACATAGAGAAATGTATCTCTATTCTAGATTGAATTTACACCTTCCTCAGCATTTAGGCCACGGGAGATATCTCCCCCTTTTTTAACGTCAGGTTTTAATCTCAGATCTGATTACCTCTCCAGATAGCCTCCTGTACAGGGTCTAAGGTGATGGGGCATTTTTGGTGGGTGTTCTATATCTGATACTTAGAAAACATTTATTTGTCCATTATTTGTACCAAAGACCATGACTATTCAAACTGCCCTAGCATACCATTTACTCTTCATTCTGCTGAACAAGTACCAAATCTCTTGCTCTTTAGATATTCCAGGTATGAATGAGATTTCCATCCACTGTGTTCCCTAATTTCCAAGAATCTTAGGCTATTATTGGTCTCTTGTTAAAGCCCATCTCAACTTGATATGAAGGGGGACCATCATCCATTGTCATATATTGGGGTGACAGTAATAGTATGAGAAATTATAGCACACCTATCTCTAAGAGATAAGCTGTTCAAATATACTCTTCCACCTCCTGTTTCTGATACTTTTACATTCTGATGAAAGGCAACAGGTTTTGTTTCTACCTCTTGAGTGAACGCCTCTTATTTAGGTTTTTTGGCATATGCTCTGGCCATAACTCTTGATTTAACAGTGGTAACAGCTGGCATTGTACTCTACGTAATGATTGTGTTTGCACAGTTTGTGTTTATGGAAGATGAAGCAGAGTGGGTGAAAACAGTTCCTGGGGAGAATGCTTATTTACTCCACTGTGTACAACCCTCTCTAGCTCTCGTTATGTTAACTTTTCTCCCCTCCTTATACACTAAAGTGGATGTTGATTTAGCTATTCAGACTCTTTTGTAAATAATTATTTAAAAAAATGTTATGGGGCTATGCAGTGATGTAATGGTAAAGCAACTGTACCGCATTGGAAAGGTGCTAGGTTTGTGTCCCAGGACTTCGTAGGCATGCTGGACATGCATACGCATGCCTGTGATCCACCTTGGTAAACGGGATCATGGTGTGAGATCCCTGTCAGAGACGCTTCTCTCTCTCTCTCTCATGGAGAGAGGGAATACACTTAAAAAAAAAAAACAGAAAGAAAGAAAATACTGTTTTCAAGCAGCAGCTCCCAATCTGTGAGCCATAAATTATATAGGATTGGGGACATAGTAGCATTTGGATATTATTTTAGGTAAAACTATTTATATACATACTAAGCACTGTTCTTACAGACTTTATAAGCAATTATTCTTATATATACATATACATGCATATATATACACACATATGTATTGATTTCTAAGCATAGGTAGATGTAATGAATTAAATACAAGTTAAATATTTAAGTTACTAAATTTATAGTAAATTAATGTATTTTCTTATTTAACAAAGTAACTATTCTCTTGTATAAATAAAACCCAACTCTTTTTTTCTTATAATAATGTCCTTGTCCTTGAAAAGATTGGGAAAGCATGGGTTTGGAAACTAAGAACAGGACACAGAGAACTTTTCATAGTTATTTTTAGAAAAATTAAGCTCAATGATTTAATCATTTAAAAAATGTATGTAGAAAATGTAAATATGTAAAATATATGTAGAAAAAGTCTGTACTGGGGACCAGCAGTTGGTGTAATGGCTATGTCGGGGGACTCTCAGGTAGTTGTCTGCAGTTTGAGTCCCAGACCTGGTGGCTTAAACTCACACTGGACACATGTGCGTGTGTGCCTGAGATCCCCAAGAGGAGAATGGAGGAAAAGGGATTGCAATGTGGCCATCCCCCCAGGGGGTGATTTCTTGTTTTCTGTCTTTCTGTCTCTCTCTGTCTTTCTGGTGAGAGCATGCCCTATAGCAAAAACTCTCAAAAAAAAAAAAAAATCTGTACTGTTCTTTTTTCTGTTAATCTCAATATTAGGGAATATTCTGCTTTTAGGAATAATTTTATGTGAAGAAAATATCATAGAGGGAGAAAATACAGACTTTGGAATAAACATCTTGACTTAGAATCCCAGATTCTTGACTTTTATTTATTTATTTATTTATTGCTAACTTATTGGTTATCTTCCCAGAGAGTTTTAAGTTCAGTAAAAGTAGGGATAGTACATACTTTATCAGTATATTCCCAGCAACAAAGTCTTTCCTGAGAAGAAAAGAAGAAAGTATACCACATCTCTGGTTTTAACAATCACTAAACTAAAGGTTGCTAGAGGACAAGGTCTGCACACAGTAAATTTTTTGAGATAAAGGATACATTTAGTTCCTTAATTGTGATAATGGTATCTAGTTGTGTATGTATGTCTGAACTCATCAGAACGTATACATTAAACATGCAATTTTTTTGTCTCATTGGTTATACCTCAATAAAGCTTTTTAAAAAAGAACTGCAGTAAATGTTGGTAATCATAAGAAATTTCTCTACCAAATAATCTCATTTGATTGCTGTTCATTCATCCTCCACTCTCCAAATTCCTAATTTTCCCAATATGAGATTAACAAATCCATGTGACTAGAAAGCCAGGCATAGTGAGTACTTACCATAAGCAACAAAAGAGGCAATGAGTCCAATGACTACTGCAGTAATCACCATTATTAAGATACCCAGGGTAATCTTTCCATACTTTATGAGTTTCATTTTTGTGTTTGGTTCTGTTCTTCTGATCAAAAAGGACAGAAAAGCAAGTGTTAATATGAACTCATTACAAAACTCAGAAATAAATATGAATTTGATGTTAAGTGCAAAAGTATATTATTTTACACTGATTATGAATTCAGTGGATGGCTGAACTTGGAAAAACAAAGTATAAAATTAATGAATATTATATTTGGCCTGTTTATTTTTCAGCACATATAAAAAATAATTGTAATGCTAATTCATTGCTCATTCATGCATACATTCATTCAGCAAACAGTTGTAGATGTTCTACTATCTGCTAGTAATCTTGTTGGAACAAATATTTCTTCCTTAGCAACTTTTCATTTTATCGAGTGAAGATAGCAAAGAAAAGCATAACAAATACACATAATTGATAAAAAGCTATTAAGTGCTACAGAAAAAAAGCACAGCTAGACAACAAAGATCAGAAATGTGACTGTATATGTGAGGTGGTGATGGTGACAAGATGCAACATTGCACAGAATGATCAGATAGGGCTGCTGGAAAGTTAAAATCTAAAGCAGAGTTGAATCAGGTAAGGAGGTTACTCTTACAGGTATATGGAATATTCCAAGCAAATCACTTGGACCTATTTGTGAGGGTCTATTTCTTTGTTCTGTCTTATGTTCAGCTGAATCAATTTCTCTCCCTCTGCCAGTACTATACAATCTCAATTACTGTAGTTATATATTGCCTTGAAATTAGGTAGACTGGTTACTCTCACTTTATTATTATTTTTTGTCAGATATGTTTTACAGCTATTTTGATTTCTGTCCTTTTCCACATACACTTTAGAGTAATCTTGTCTATATCTACAAAAAAAAATTGCTTGGATTTTGATAGGAATTGCAGTAAAATTATCTATCAGTAGAGAATCAATATCTTAACTGTGTGCCTTTTCCAAACTGTTAACACATGTGTCTCTGAATTTATTTAGATGCTTAATTTTTTATATCAGAGTGGTATATTTTTCAACATACTGTGTCATTGGATTTATACTTAAATATTTCCTTTTTAAATTTTTGAGCATCTGTAAATGTTCTTGTATTTTAAATTTTGTGTTCATAGTTAGTATATACAACTGTAACTCTCTTTTGCAGTTTATCTTGTATAAACTGTGACCTATTGAGCTTACTTTTTAGTTCTAGGGGATTTTTCAGAAGGTTACTTGGGCTTTTGTGCATAGACAGCCATGCAATCTGAATGTAGAGTCAATTTTATTCTTACTTTCCAAACTATATGCTTTTTATTTAATTTTCTTATTCTATTGCACTGACTAGAATTTCAGTCATGAATAAGAGTTGGCAAGAATGCACATTTTTTACCTATTCTTGATTTTAGGGAAAAGTATTCAGTTTTTCACCATAAATTATAGTTTTATCTTTAAGGTTTTTGTAGGTGTTTATTTTCAAGTTGAGGAACTTTTCCTCTATTCCCATTTCCTGAGAGTTTTTTTTTAAAATCATAAATGATGTAGAATTTTGTTAAATATATTTTGCATCAAGTGATAAGGTGATGTGTCTTTTCTTCTTTAGCTTGTAAATATGGTGGGTTATAATGATTAATTTTTTTAAATAATTATTTTATTTAACTTTATTTATTTATTTACTTCAATTTGACCAAAGAGGGACAGAGAGAGAGAGAGAGAGAGGGAGAGAGAGAGAGAGAAAGTGAGAAAGCAAGCCGCCAGGTCCAGGACTCATGGTCAGCCATGTGGGAATCCAGTGCCTTTAACCACCACATCACCTACTGGCTCCTATAATGATTAATTTTTGAGTTTTGAGCCACCCTTGAATCTTTGGCATACATCACATTAGATCCTTCTTTTCTGTGAGTTTTTAAATTATTTCAGTTTCCTTAATAGTTATAATTTACTCAAATGGTCTGTTTCATATTTAATAAGTTGTGTTAGTTTATATTTTTCAAGAAGTTGACACATTTTGTTTAAGTTGTCTATTTTCTGTGCGTAGATGTCCATTTTCTCCTTGTGTTTTCATATTAACTTCCTCTGTACATATTTTTCTCCTAATGCCCTCCTCTTAGAAAGATGGCAGCTGTATTTGATTAGGGCCTATCTTAATAACTTCATTTATCTCTCTGAGTGCGAGGTACTAGGAATTAAGATCAACATATGAATTTTGGGGCGAGTGAGACATAATTAAGCTACATTATATTTATATTTTATATGTGATGTAGTCATAAATAATACTTTGAGTATACTCATCTGTATGTTTGTATATGTGTAAGATGTTTCTGATATAAAGAAAAATCAGCATAATTGAGATTACTACAATAAATATTGACTAATTAAAATACCTATATAAATATCTATATTATTATCATTTTTTATTTGCAAAGAATATCAAATATCTATTAGGAAATTTATTTTTAGTAAGTTAGCAGTCATTCCCTGAATAGATAGTATTCCCTGGACGGACAGTATTAAATAGGTTCCCACAGGTGAAATTTCTAAATCTTAAACTTTTTATAAATTTCATCTTACTTAAAAAATTCTGACCATTTTGAACAAAGTTTCAACAAAAATGTTTTGTTGAAATTATGTTTGTTCATTACATAAAAATTAGTATCTCAGTATTCCTATGTCTATATGATGCCCATACACTTTTTTGTTCATTAGAAAACAAAACCTAGGCCAGTTGCAATGGTGCAGGAAATGGGCTGCTGCTATGTGATGCCAGAGTACATGGGAACACTGGGTTTAATTCTGATCTGACCACGTTACACTGGCCATGGCAACATGCCTGTGATACTAGCTAGTGAAGTGACTGGGGTAGAGGGCTCATAGCATGGTGGGACTCTGTCATGGGTCCCTATTTTTCCCTTTCTCATGCTCTCTCATAACAATATAAGTAAAATAAACTTTAAAAAAAGTAAAAGAAATCTTACTATGTAAAAACTTAAAGAACATGGGGTCGGCAGGTAGCATGGTGGTTAAGGGCGCTGGACTCCCTCATGGCCGACCATGGTTAAAGTCCCACATCTGGTGGCTTGCTTTTTCACTTTCTCTCTTTCTTTCTCTCACTCTCTGGTCAAATTCATACTGGTCAAATTAAAATGAATGAATAAATAAATAAATAAATAAAAATAAAATAAAATAATTTAAAAAAACTTAAAGAACATAACTTTTTCAATTTGTTCAGTTTACTCATTGAGTCTAGGACAGTATTTAAATTTTTAGAAAAAGAGTTGACTAAATGCCATAATATACCTCCAGCAATTTGATTTCCTAGAGATAAGTATGTGTTCTAAAGAATCCTTTCCCATACCTATAAGCATGTTTACATATTTTGCTCAACCTAGCTTGCCTTGGGATGAGACCCAAGGAAGATGCGGTAAATGAATGTGAAATGTAATGTGGCACATATTTAGGATATATATTTCTATTCTTCTTAACTGTGTCCTAATACATAAACAAAATAAAAGTTGTTGCTTTTGTCAATTAAAACATGAATATTGACAATTTTACAATAACTGTAAGTTGTTATAAATTATCAATTAACAAAAGTATAAATACACTGAAACTCTTATTGTTTATCCTTCTGATTTATTTAGAAGGGGATATAAAACTGACTCTTGTCTATAGACTATGTCTCACAGGGAAGCATTGTTTGACTTCAAACTTCCTTCCAACATAGATTTCATAGGGTAAGAGGCTCATGGCCTTTGGAGCTAGAAGGAACATTGCAAATAACCTATTCTGATTTATGAATTTTAAAGAAGGGGAGACAGTAGGGCAATATTTTCCTTTTAGGAAATTTCAGATCTAGAGAAGTTTAACTTTCTGAGTGAAGATTTCTCCTCTGGTTATAAGCAATATGTATAGAGGTCAGGCTAAAGTTAGCTTGGCTAAAGTTAGGTTTTGAGTTCTCTTTTCCTAATCTCCAGACAAAAATAAAGTAATATAGGCCTCCTTAACTTGCAGTTCTTTTGTCTTACAGCCAGAGTCTACGATCACAATGGTGGACTGTCTATTTTGACTCACAAATATGAAATTATGATTTATGAATGAGAGTTATTTTTATAGGTGAAAGAACTATGTTTATTTCTTGCTTGCCCTTGAGTTTTTAAAGATGCAGGTGTTCCTCATATCTACAAAAGGTTTTATTATTTGGAAAGTAGTTGTACAGTGTGCTTGTTTGTGTGTATTCCTAAATTCAGAGGAAAATCAATTTTGTCAACATCCAGATTCCTTTCTTTAAAGTACTTTATATAATATCAGACCTATGAATTCTGTTTCCTGAAAGTATTTTTATGTGGAAAGATACTTAAAAAACAGACTGCCTGTCATTCAACAGAAATTGTTTTATAGGGGGGAACTGAAGTGAGGAACGGAAAAAACTTACTTTGATTTTAACAATATGCCTTAAATATTTCTGATATTAGTTATTGTTAATCACCAAGTATATCCTGAACTCATTCAGTGTAATACTGATAGAGTAGTAATGATATCAAGAATTATTTAGGGTTTTTTTAAATAGTGGCTTGCTGATGAGTTGTACTTAAAAATTATTAATTCCGTAAAAGAATGAAACTAAGGTCTGTCTATATATTATTGCTTATATATGTTTATGGAGCATAAAAGGCTGAGCAAGTTGCTATGAAGAATATTAAACATACTACTTAGTTAAGATGAAACATTTTTACCAAAATTAAATTAATTAAATCAGAAGGATTAATAGTCACTTAATTTGATGGAAAAGATTTTGAAGTTTCTCTTATAGCTAATTAATCTAAAAATTAATATGAATGTGTAAAATGACATTATTAAAGCCATTTCTCTGGAAGTTATACTGTGCTCAATATTATACTCTTCACCTAGAATTTAGATGGTGGTAAGACATCAAAATAAAAAAATATATAAAAATTTTATTAAAATACAGATCAGTCTCAATGGATTTATCAAGGTATATACATTTTGTC